ACGAAAGTAGATATTTGAATTGAAGTAAACCAAACAGATTTGAGTCCTCATTAATAACATAGATCACAATTCAAAATCCAGGATTTTTAAGAGATTAAAGTAGGTAGAAAAGAAAACTTCTATTCGTTATTAACTAAATAAAAACAATAGGGGCACCTGACTGGCTCAGTTGGTAAAGCGTGTGACTCTTTTTTTTTTTTTTTTTTTAAATTTTTTTTTTCAACGTTTATTTATTTTTGGGACAGAGAGAGACAGAGCATGAACGGGGGAGGGGCAGAGAGAGAGGGAGACACAGAATCCGGAAACAGGCTCCAGGCTCTGAGCCATCAGCCCAGAGCCCGACGCGGGGCTCGAACTCCCGGACCGCGAGATCGTGACCTGGCTGAAGTCGGACGCTTAACCGACTGCGCCACCCAGGCGCCCCAAGCGTGTGACTCTTGACCTCGAGGTCGTGAGTTCAAGCTCTACATTGGGCATGGAGCCTACTTAAAAAATAAAATAAAAGCAGTAATACTGTCCAAAAAATACTAACTTCTTTGTGGATCCTCTTTAACAGTCTGACATTGAACATCTCAATGATTCATTCAAACCTTTAGAGAGATTATTCGACATTTTAGAATATCATACCTGTTTCAACATGTTCCTAACATTTTTATAAAAGATTGCTATTCTCCAGCACCCTGTTACATATATTTAAAAGAAATCAAATGCTTCCATAAGGAAAAAGGGGGACGTAGCACATGGGTTTACACGTGCTTAACCATGCTTATTCCAATCTAAACTTGATTGATACGGAACTTCAGTAGCAAGCAGTTTATTCATAGAATACTTAAGTGAAATGTTGCGAATTCAGTATCAAATGCTATATTCATATACTTGCAATCTAAAACTCATTTAACACAAAATTTTTGAACTTATGAGAACACCAAGCTTAATAATAAAGGGCTAACTTTGTAAGGCAGCATTTCCGGATGCAATTGTCTGAAGGTTTAATTCTCACATTTAATTTCCTTTTTGTTTTTTAAAGTTTATTTACTTATTTTTGAGAGAGAGAAAGCACAAGTCGGGGAGGGGCAGAGAGGGAGGAAGAGAGACAATCCCAAGCAGGCTCTCTGCTGTCAGCACTGAGGTGGATTCAGGGCTCAAACACACAAACCATGTGATCATGACCTGAACCAAAGTCAGAAGCTGAACTCACCGAGCCACTCAGGCGCCCCTAATTTCCTTTCTTTACAACTATGGTCTCTTGCCTGACCTATCACCATAGACTTTTTTAAAATATATTTTTAAAATTTTTATTTATTTTTGAGAGATAGAGCAGAGTCGGGGAGGGGCAGAGAGAGGGAAACACAGAATCTGAAGCAGGCTCCAGGCTCTGAGCTGTCAGCACAGAGCCGGATGCGGGGCCTGACCCCACGAACTGTGAGATCATGACCTGAGCTGAAGTTGGACGCTTAACCGACTGAGCTACCCAGGCGCCCCTAAATATTTTTTAAAATGTTTATATTTGAGAGAGAGCACAGAAGGGGGGGGGAGAGAGAGGGACTCAGAGGATCTGAAAAAGGCTCTGTCTCTCTCAAAAATAAAGACATTAAAAAAATTAAAAAAAAAGAAAAGAAAAGAAAAGAAACCTGGTGAGGCCACGAACACATCCTATATTTTAACTGAGCAGCTTGAGAAATGACATTTAGGGTGCAGATTTTAGAAATATCAGTGGTGTGGTTTTAGAGTAGTTGTAGCTTTGATTTTGTCAGTGCTCTGAGCAACTCCTCTCTCCTCTGCATAGGATCAGAAGTTAGAAAAAGGCAGTCTAGGGACCCACACGTAACAATCTACCGCAAACACACAAGGTTGCTGGTTGTTTTAATGTTTCAGATCTTTGTTTGGAATGTCTGAGGACTGTATGTAAATGACATCATACCATAGTATCCTGCGCCCAGCTTCTCCAGTCAGTAGTTTCAAATTCATCTATGTTGATGTGTGTAGCTCTACTTGAGTCACTAACTGCTGTGTAATAGCCTTCTGAATTGTTTTGCACTGGACAGTACTGTTTCCAAATTATACTGCAATAAACACTCTTGCGTATCTCCTCTGTGTCAGTTTCCCTGGGGTACTTGATTACTTACTGGGTCCCTGAATATATTCTCTACTTTCTAGGCTTGTTGCCTCTGTGTCAGCTGCCACGACTAATTCCTGGACTTTGCATAAAAACCATCCTGGGGAGGATGGGAAACAGAAATCATTCAGATTCAGAGAAGCAAGGGTACTGGTATACTTTCTGCACTAGCTAATTTCAACTTGAATAAAACAACCTGGGGCAGTGATGAGGCACGTTTCGGTAGCCATGAAGATCTAGGTTTGAATTCATGCCCTGTGTAAGGAGTTGTAACTTTGGGCAACCTAAGCTTTAATTTCCTTCTCTACAAACTATCCACCTCGCAGGTGGTTGGCAAATGGTTTGCAAATCACTTAGCTCTGGGCAAGGTAAACAGTAGGTACATAATGATAAGATATAAACTTGGAATGAAGAGACCAAACTATTATAAATTCAACTATATTGCAGTCACAAAGCACTGCCAGTGAAAAAGATAGTTATTAAAGTCAAATGTGAATGAACTTATTACAACTTATAAATACAAGTTTACAGCAAGTACAGAGTAAGTTTACAAATGTGGAGTGTAATTTTTTTGCTTATTTTTTTTGTTAATAGCAATAAAGCTTTATCAATAAGACATAATTCACATGTTATGCAATTCACCCAGTCAACACACACACTTCATTGGTTTTGGTATATTCACAGATGTGTACAACCATCACAGTTTTAGAACGCTTTCATCATCTCAAAAAGAAACCTCATTCCCATTAGCTACCACTGCATCCCCTCCCCTCCTCCTAGTTTCAAGCAACCACTAATCTACTTTCTGTCCCTACGCCTAGTCTGGATATTTCCTATGAATGGAATCACACAATACGTAGCATCTAGCCTTTCCCTTACCCTGACGTTTTCAGGGTTCACCATGTTGTAGCCCACATCAGTAGTTTACTTGTGACCAACTAATACTCCATTGCATGGCTGTGCCATATTTTGTCTATCCATTCTTCAGTTGATGGCCACACAAGTTGTTTCCCCATTTTGGCGATCATGAATAACGCTGCCACCAATGTTCTGTCCAAGGTCCTGTGTGGCCATACGTGTTCGTTCTCTTGGGCATATAGGCAAGACTGATATTTCTGGGTCAAATGGTAATTCCCGATTTTATTGGGGAACTGTCAAACTGGTTTCCAAAGTGGCTGCAGCGTTCCACCTCTCCACCAGCAGTGCACGAGGGCTCCAACGCCTCCATGTCCTTGACCTTGAATCTACTCGTCCTTGACCACACATGTAGTAATCTGACCCTTTGAATCTACTCACAGCCATCCTAGTGGGCGTGAAGTGGCATCTCCTGGCTTTGATTTGCATTTCCTTGATGAGTAATGACAGCGAGCTCTTCCTAGGATTGTTGGCTGTTCTATCTTGGATACACGTCCGAAGTAGAATACTGTCTATTATGTCAGGTACTTGGGGTCGTGCTGATGTTCCCACCAGCCCCTCGTTTGATATGGGATCATACACCCTATTCTGCAAATGGGCAAGTTTAGGCTGGAGGAATGAAGCTGAGGATTTGCATTTGAGTTTTAAATCCATTTAAAGCACACCTCCTTTGTACTTGTGTTCCAACCACAGTCAATCTGGTCACAGCAGTGAGGGCCCAGCAGGCACCATCCAAAGACACTATTCCAAGACATGGGACAGCAGACACTACCACCCCCACACTCCAGAGACAACGGAGCTCCAGGAGGCCACTTGCCATAGTAAGCGGCAGAGCCTGGCGGTGAAACCAGACAGGGCTGCAGGGTGTGGCCCTGGCTCCCCACAAGATGTTCCTGGGAATATCCTAACCACCCACCCATCAACATGCTGCTGGGGTGAGAGACACTCAACACTGTGATAAGGAAACCGGCTGCATGTACTGAAGAGCTGTGGTTTCTACAGAAAATACAGCCTGCTTAAGTTCGTTAGATACGATGTTTGGAGGAATAAGAAACGACGTCTTGGGGCGCCTGGGTGGCTCAGTCGGTTGGGCGTCCGACTTCGGCTCAGGTCATGATCTCACAATCCGTGAGTTCAAGCCCCGCGTCGGCTCTGTGCTGACAGCTCGGAGCCTGGAGCCCGTTTCAGATTTTGTGTCTCCCTCTCTCTCTGCCCCTCCCCTGTTCATGCTCTCTCTCTGTCTCAAAAATAAAAATGTTAAAAAAAAAATTAAAAAAAAAAAAAGAAACGACTTCTTACTCTTTACATTTAAAAGGAAAATAAGACTTATTATTTTATTGCACTGCTTTTATAGCCAGAAGACTAAAAAATACTTTTTCCCTCAAGTGTCTATTCTTTCTGAACTCAAGCCTTTGGACTCTGTTGTGGGTTGAATTGTGACCCCCATAAATTCCTATGAGTTCTACCCCCAGTACAACGTGCCCTTAGTTGCAGATGGGGTCATCACAGATGTAATTAGTTAAGATGAGGTCATGCTGGGGAAGGGTGGCCCTCATCCAATGACCAGTGTCCCTGTAAGAAGGGGAAATCTGGACACAGACCCGCACACAGGAAGGAGGCCCCGTGAAGATCCGGGTGAAGCGTCAAGCCAAAGATTGCCAGAAACTACAGAATCTGGGGGAGGGGCAGGGAACAGATTCTCCATCACAGCTCCAAAGACCCCAGCCCGAGCACGCCTGGATCTGGAGTCCTAGCCGGCAGGATGTGCGAGCCCACTCGCTTCCTTTGTCACCCCGTCTGCGTACTTTGTTACGGCAGGCCTCAGAGACGCCCACGGCCAGGCGTATAAAACACGGCGGCCCTATAGGACATGCGCCCGAATTCCGCTCCCAATGGTAAAGATTACGATTAACTTCTGACTACCAAGATCAGTGATCTGTATGTCAAGTTTCTAAGAAAGAAGCAATCGTGGCTTTCCATCACTGTGTATTTTATTTATCTCAGCTAGGTATTTACAGATATTTGCTAATATAAAAATACAATGGCCCGGCGGCCGGAAAGTTGAGGCCATGCAACCCTTACTTCTTCGTGTCCAAATGCTCTAAGGCTTTAAATAGTTCAAGGTATTTCCACATGAAAAGGACTCCACAACATTTATATGCACAGAGAATGGGCTGAGAGCTCAGTATCTGTATTTTGTGGAGTAGTCCTTTGGAGACACCACCAGGCCCCGACCCTTCCGGGCACCTCGGTACACGGTCTCGATTATGTCTATCATTTCCTGCTTGTCTTCCATGGCCCAGTTGATCTTGTTGTTGTTCCCAGTACCCAGGTCAATCATGATGTGCTTGTTCCTGCAAAGAGGAAACAGGGGGGTCAATGCTCACAAAAATCCTTCTAAAAAAGAGTTCCATGAAGAGGCCTTCCGTTTTGCACCTTTACAAACTCTCGTTAAACATCATTTAAGAGAAGAACACACAGTCAAGAGGATCCACCATGATTCAGGAGAAGATGAAAACAACCTAAATGCTATTTAAAAACACACAGCTTGCGTGGGGAGCAAGCTCTTTCTGTACTCTTCTCTGTCTCCTCAGGACAAATACCCTACAGGGTAGTCGCAAGCTCAAAGGACACAGTGTTTGTCACTTGGACCCAGAGGGTTGTACTAATTTACTCAGGAAACATAACGGATGAGTTTTCAAGGTGCTCTTGTGAGCACCTAGTGTACATTTCATTAAAAATCCTACTAACTGTGAAATTAATAATGTTTTGGATTTTTATGATTAGAGACATAGACAATTCTTTACAAATGTATTTCTTAAGAGGCTACTTTTAACAATGATTTTTATGTGCACTTCATAGAAGATAGTAACCCTGGTTGTCCCTGATGCACTAATTTTTCCAGGTTTGCTGAAGACTGATTAGTTTTAATTACTTTAACTTCTCACTTCCCTAAGAATGAAGTGCTCCATCCACCCTGCAGTCTTTGGTCTGGCCACCTTTTAACCAGAGTGAGCCTCCAAAAGGCAAATCCGATGTTCCTTTTCTGCCACAAAATCTCACTTCTAGGATAACATTCCACATCCTCACTCTGGCCCAGGAATCTGGGGGTCTGGACCCTGCCCCTCCCCCTCCCTGGCGGGGGGGGGGGGGATCTGGGTGTCTGGACCCTTCCCTCCCGCCCCCTCCCCCACCAGTCTCCCACCATCACCCACCAGCCACTCCGTGTCCTCTCGGGCTCCCAAACATAGCATGAAGCTCGTGCCGTGTGCCCGTCCCCCAGAAGGCTGGAGCTCATCCCAAACCTACCCCAGCTGCCACTTAGCTCCCGCCACCCTGACTCAGTATTTGTGTGCCTATAAATACCCGCCCTCTGGCACCTGTTTCCCTCTGCTAATTTACTCAGCTGTTCCCAACCTACGAAGTTCCCTGATGGCAGGATCCGCGTCCCAGCACTAGACCACAAAACCTGGCAGGACTCAGTATATATACATTTAGTGAAAACATTAACTGAAGTGCCACCACGCCTCGTCTTAGAACTCTGGGTGGCAGAAAGAGACGTTCTGTCTTCTCTGGTGCAGCCTCCGTCCTAAAACACCCATGTGCACAGAGGGCGGGGGGCTTCTTTTTTTCAGCCTCACTCCCACCTGAAGGGCTAGGGGAGAATTTCGAAGAGCACGACAGAAAAGGCCTAGACTGCCTCCAAGAGCCCGTGAGAAGAAACACGGACTTGGAGAGCACAGCTGGTGCCGGCTCCAGAGGAAGGGAGGACCTCGCGTTGCCGGGGGTGGAGGAAAGGGACCCTGTTACTTGGCAGGACATCGCGATGGGATCCTGCGGTTCTGTGGGAAGGACTTGCAACGACTGATGCCCTTGGATATTCAACTGAAGGAAAGCCAAGCAAAGTCTTGAAGGTGCTGTCTGGTTTCTCCCTGGTGCTCACAGCAAAACGAGAGAGCCAACCTAGTGTGAGAATTGCGAACAAAGACTCAACTCTCAGCCTCTCCAGATGGCAGAAGGTGCTGAAATCCAGACACGGCCGCAGAATGGGGGGTACAGGGAAAAGGAAGCCACACGACCTACTGCTGAAGCCCAGGAAAGCCCTAAAGGCCAAAGCGTTCAGTCACAAGAGAGGGAGGCGTGCCTCACGATCTTCCCCGATGCCCGGGCCGGGGACTCGGCTGCAAGGGACAGAGGGTACAGCGAAAGGAGATGACAGAACCCAATGTGCTGCTGGCTGAAGGAGGCTGGAGAATGGCCCAGCTGCGAATGCCGTTCACGAAAAAGGGAGGAAAATCCAGGCAAGCACCCTCCCAGGGCTGGGGCCTCGGCCTCCTTCCTCCTCACGTCCCCTTGGGAAACCAGACCTGTTTCCTATGCTGTCCCACACTGTGTGCTGGGAGAGCTGGGGCCACAGACAAGTGGTGTCCGGGAGCCTAAGAAGCCTTGTCCATCCCTGATTTTGCATATGAGAAGGATGTGAGTTTTCGGAGCCAGAGGGCAGACTGGTAGGCAAAATCCTACATTAAACCCTGTGAATTTCCTGCCCGATCCCCTGGGACTGTGATATGATGGGGCATAAAGACTCTGACAGATGTCCCAAAAGTTTCTGATCGATTGACTTTAAAATAAGGAGATAATCCTGGATTATCTGGATGAGTCTATTCCAATCACAGCCCTTAAAAGCAGAACAGGAAATCTCAGAGACTGTGCAGACTTCAAAGGCGGAAGGGCCTCCAGGAGCAGGGAGGGGTCCCAGCGTACAGCCAGCAAGGAGTCAGAGACCTCGGACCCGTGAGCACCAGGAACTGCATTCAGCCAACAACCCAAGTGAGCCAAGTGGCTTCTTCCCAGGCTGACGGTCCAGGTAAGGGCTCAGCCCCTGATTCTGACTTGGTGAGACCCTGAGCGGAAACCCACTGAGCCTGCCCGAACCTTGACACAGCACTGAGCTCATAAGTGGTGCTGTGTTAGCTACTCAACTTGTGCTCATTTGTTACACAGACTATAAAGCTAATCCACACCCTATACAATCCACGCAAACATTCCTTGCCAGCCAGGGAGCTCTACTTTCGGAGCATGGTCTCAGGCTTAACACTGCTATTTACCAACTTCTGTATTAACAATAAACAGTAAGAAATTTTGACCAAACATCAAATGGTGATTCCTTTCTAAATTAAATCTCCACGACAGAACTTTTTTAAAATTCACGACGTTACTTGACTCTACTACCTAAATACCATCAAATATAAAGATCTCCTGGTTACGTCAAAATTCCAGACCAACAATATTCAACTGAAATGACAAATTTAAGAGGACATACCTGAAGAAAAACATGACGGTGCATGGATCGTATAACTCATACATTTTGTTGAAGTCAGGCACTTCTGTAATATCCACAAGATAGATAACTGCAAAATTTTTCACCTAGGAGAGATTGAAACAACCCTGTACAGTAACACACCATTTTTTTATTCTGCAAAAGCACGTTAAAAACAAACACGAGAATTTGTATATAAGCGGACAATTTTCAAACCAAGTCCCCAACATTCTTTCCCAGCAGAGCTAGTACACAGGGAGATGATTCAGCACGTTCGGGCTCCTGACAACTGGCTGCTTACACCTCGCTTTACCATTTTCACAACAGCAAGTGATGAGAGTCCCACAGAAAACGTCCACAGGTACGTTATTCATGCTGACCTAGTAATAACCTATCTCAACTTTTCCAGATTTGTACTTCTACAAATACTTAATTGCACACAGGAAACCACTATTTTAAAACCCACTGCTAGAATCTGCTGCACACCTGCCTTTTTGATTCAGGGGTGCACACATGCAGATACTAAGACTACTACTCCAAATAATACTATACACAACAAATTTTCTTTCATTTTTTTCTCTAATTGCAGATTCATCATAGCAGATTTAGAAAACTCAGAAAACTGTAAATAAGACAGAATCACCTCCAGTCCCAACCACCAGAATTGCTACAAATGTATTTTTTTTTTTTTAATGTTTATTATTGAGAGAGAGTGTGTGTGTGCAAGTGGGGGACCGGGAGAGAGAGGCAGACAGAAATCTGAAGCAGGCTCCAGGCTCTGAGCTGTCAGCACAAAGCCCAATGTGGGGTGTGAACCCACGAACCATGCGACTATGACCTGAGTTAAGTCAGACACTCAACGCACTGAGCCACCCAGGCGCCCTGCTACAAATATATTTTTGGTCAACTCTTTCCCATTTTTTCTGGCATACACACACACATATAAATCTGTTTATACTGTTTTAACAAAATGTGATCATTCCATGCCACAGTATTTTATATCCTGCTTTAATTATGAGCATTCTCTTATACAAATTACATACTTTCCCAAAGTACAATTTTCAGGGCTACATAATACTTCATCAAACAGCTATGTCATTAGTTTATCATTCTTCCATTATTTTCTGATTTTTCCTGAAAATAAATAATTCAGATTTTTCATTAGTACCAATTATTCACCTGTGAACATTCTTACCTTTAAATCTATGTACATATGTCATTATTTCCAAAGAACAAATTCCCAAAATAGAATCTCTCCAACAAAAGACATGACATTTTAATGGCCCCTATGGGGCGCCTGGGTGGCTCAGTTGGTTGAGGGTCCGACTCTTGCTTTCAGCTCAGGTCATGAGCTCATGGTTCATGTGTTTAGGGTGACAGCGTGAAGCCTGCTTCGGATTCATTCATATTCTCTCTCTCTCTCTCTCTCTCTCTCTCTCTCTCTCTCAAAATAAACAGTGCAACACGGCGCAGGGCTGAGGTCTGACCAACAGAAGGCATTAAATATGGACATGTCCCACAAAGAGCCTGGCTGCGAAAGGAGGGAAGTTACTGAGGGACCCAGGCATGGAGCTGGGGCCCCTCCGGCCACCCCCCAATTCCCTCTTTCCTGGTGACAGAGACAAGGCAGCTGTGGAATCGAGGGTGCCACACACCACGTGTCCAGATGGCCTCTGTGGCAAAGGTTCTTTTCATACTGCGGTGGCCCTCAGACAGCAGGGCCGGAGCACAGCACACGCCTCTGCAGAGCTTTCCGGCAAAAGGGACCCTGTGCATCCATAGGTGCTGCCTACCCCTACGTTTCACTCTATCATTATTCCGTTATTACTTTCCATGTAATACAACAGAGCTATCACAACTTACACTGACAGAAGTTAACCTTATAGTAAAACCAAACAAACACGTCCACTTGTGTCCCCTAAAGCGTAAACTGCCAATGCAGTGAGAGCCCAAGATGCCTTTCGGATTCAATGTGAATTATTTAGCCAGTTGGCTCCAGTTCCTAGAACCTCCACATCTCCCAAGTTAAAGCAGAAACTGACACAAGAAACCACGTCCTCTTAAAGTGATCAAAATATACCACCTGTTTTATACATGAAGATATTCAATTACCCAAACTCAACGATATAATCTTCACTATAAACGTTGGTTTTTTTTTTTTTTTTTAATTTTTTTTTCAACGTTTTTATTTATTTTTGGGACAGAGAGAGACAGAGCACGAACGGGGGAGGGGCAGAGAGAGAGGGAGACACAGAATCGGAAACAGGCTCCAGGCTCCGAGCCATCAGCCCAGAGCCCGACACGGGGCTCGAACTCCCGGACCGCGAGATCGTGACCTGGCTGAAGTCGGACGCTTAACCAACTGCGCCACCCAGGCGCCCCTAAACGTTGGTTTTTACAGCGAGACTTTGAGAGCAGGCCCTACTTCCCTTTGCCTTCAATGAGGAGGAAGAAAACGGTAGCTCGTTCAGAAGTAAAACAACTAACGACAGCACAGTACTTAATTCTTCTCTTCCCCACTATGTACAGTACACTATGGTTCTCCAGATAAATCTAAGGCTTCCCGAGGCTAGGAACCACGTCTGTTCTCTTTACTGATGTGTCCTCAGAGCCAAGCAGTACCTGACTCATACACGGGACCAGTAAATGCTTATCGAGTGAATTTGAACAATAAGCTTGTATTCTGAAACACAAGAAACACATTAATGTCACTAAAAATGTGTTTTTGGACAGTGTGAGCTTAATCACGTAACGCTGAGTTCAAACAGACCTGCCCTCAGGGTTGGTGGGTGCCACTTCTGTCTGACGGGAGGCTCTCAAGCCCCTGCAGCTCCAACACCTGCAGAAAGCAAGGGGCTGCTCACCCATCTGGGCGGCCAGATGAGAACCGCACGCAGCACCAAGGGGCCTTCCTAGAAACCTGTGCAACCTACCCAGTCTTTCCCCTGGAAAAGCTACCATTTATCCAAGCTGCTTCTAATGCAGGTTACATGAATTGTCGTGATGCTTTCCACATGGTCTGAACGTTTCACACCCACTGACGAACCTACAGTTAACTAAAACTCTGTGTATGTTTTATAAAAGTGAAATGAAGCTAGGAGTCTACTGTATTTTCTCCATTTAAAAAAATGTTCAGGGGCGCCTGGGTGGCTCAGTCAGTTAAGCGTCCGACTTAGCTCAGGTCACGATCTCACGGTCCGTGGGTTCGAGCCCCGCGTCGGGCTCTGGGCTGATGGCTTGGAGCCTGGAGCCTGCTTCCGATTCTGTGTCTCCCTCTCTCTCTGCCCCTCCCCCGTTCATGCTCTGTCTCTGTCTCAAAAATAAATAAAACGTTAAAAAAAATTAAAAAATAATGTTCATTTTGGGGTGCCTGGGTGCTTCAGCAGGTTAAGTGTCCGACTTTGGCTCAGGTGGTGGTCTTGGGGTTTGTGGGTTGGAGACCTGCGTCGGGCCCTACGCTCTCAGCACTGAGCCTGCTTCAGATCCTCTGTCTCCCTCTCTCTCTGCTCCTCCCTCACTCCCACTCTCTCAAAAATAAAATACACATAAACAAATAATGTTCATTTTGAAAATATAGAAATGGAGTGGAAAAACCACTACTGGGGCGCCTGGGTGGCTCAGTCAGTTGGGCGTCCGACTTCGGCTCAGGTCATGATCTCACGGTTCGTGGGTTTGAGCCCCGCCTCGGGCTCTGTGCTGACAGCTCAGAGCCTGGAGCCCGCTTTGGATTCTGTGTCTCCCTCTCTCTTCCTGCCCCTCCCCTGCCCACACTCTGTCTCTCTCCCTCTCAAAAATAAATAAACATTAAAAAAATTTTAAACAAAAAGAAAAAAGAAAGAAAAACCACTACTATGTGTCCAGTCCTGTATTTTTAAGCAAACTCTACCCCAAACGTGGGCCTTGAACTCATAACCCTGAGATCAACAGTTGCATCCTCTTCGGACTGAGCCAGCCAGATGCCCTTAAGTTATACAACTTGTTTAAAAAACACTGGGCTGGAGCACATGGCTGGCTCAGTCAGAACAGCGTGCAACTCTTAATCTTGAGGGTGGGAGTTCAGGCCCACGTGGGGTATACAGGCTACCTGAAAGGAAAAAAAACCCAGAACTTAAAAATATAGGACAGCCAAATAAAATCAATAGTATGGGTGTCTGAAAGCAAAAAGTGTTTCCCTTTCCCCAGACCCACAAGCTCACTTGTGAGGAAATCATATACATTCTGCTTTCTCCAGCTGACGTCATTACCTGATGCCCATGTTATTGAAGAAGCTCTTAGAAGATAACTTCTAACAGCCACATAACATTCCATCCCGTGAACAGGACATTCCCAGTTTAAATCCCAACCGTCTGTTTCTGAGCCTGGACAAACTACGTGCCAGCACCTACCTCTGGGAGCCATCGTGAGGACCACAGGACAGGTCTGTTTCCCACCTGGCAACTGGATGCGTCTCAGGGTTCAAACGCTAGAGCTCACGGTCATCACCATGTTCTCCTATCATGAGACACTGCTGTTGTTTCCAGGTATGACAGAAGTTATAGCAAAGGTCTTGTGGAGCATAAAACTTCGTCTATTGAAGACGCGGGGTTACTGGGCATAAGGTATGACTATTCTCAAGGCTTTTTATACGATGCCAAACTGCCTCCTGAAAGGAGATCCGTTCTACAGGTACCTCAATATTAACTTTCACCTTTTTAGCTCTGCTATATCTAAGAAACGATAGCACACTATTTTAATGTGTGTGTCTCTGAAGTTTACTTAACCATGAGAATTTCCTCTTTTTTAGGTTCCTTGCCTCTCTACCCACAGGATTTATCTATTTATTTCATTTTCTAGGAGTCATCTTTTTAAATGGCACTTTAAACTTATTCGCCTAAGTCTACTATGTCTAAAATAGTATTTTGCCTGCTATATTTGCAGTAATTTTAATCGGCTGTTCAACAGTATCTTTTAAAAACCAACGACTCTATGTACAAATTTCATTTCTATTATCAAGTTGTTTCTTAATGTACATATTCTTTTGGTTGTCTACAACAGTAACCATGATTTCCAACCCGACTGCCTACACGTTTTATAAGCACCCCTCCTTCTTCGTCACCAAGTCGCTGATTAAACTGTTCAGTAGTCCTTCTACAAGCCACTCAACTTGCCTCCAAAAAGTAACTCCTGCACATCACTGAGACTGAGGCTGGCACATGACCCCAACCACCACTCCACCCTCTTGTATGGGACTCCTCCTCTAAGAACCCACCTAAAATGCTGGAAAAAATCTTATGGGCTGCCAACTGGCACTATGTATTTTATTTATAAGTCAATTTTTAGATAATTCATGTCAAAGCCATCAAAAAACTGCATGATAACTTTATTTTCCCCCACTACTATTTGCCTGATTAGCTCAACAATAACTCTGGAAAACTCTGCGATGTGAGTGGTAACGATACTAACAACAGTGGCTAAGAATTATGGAACATACTGCTTACTATGAGACAAGAAGTGTTCTGGAAGTCTTTTATATTAATTCTATCCTCATGACTGCCCTCTGGGTTAGGCACTACCATCCCTTTCCCACAGACGAGTAAAATGAGGCACAGACAAGTTATTTAAGGTCATACGGGTAGTAAGCAGCAGAAACAAGCTTGGTCTCTACCCTTACTGCCCCTCATAGCTTGCTCCTAGCTGCAAGACTGTTATTTCCAGAAACACAAATCCAGAGCAAACATACAAATTTTGTTGGCTCTTATGAGAACATCAACTTCCAGTAGAGTTCAACTTACTTTATGCGGGGTTTAAGAATGATCCCCCTAAGGGTGCCTGGGGGGCTCAGTCGGTTGAGCGGCTGACTTTGGCTCGGGTCATGATCTCGTGGTTCGTGGGTTCAAGCCCCGTGTCGGGCTCTGTGCTGCCAGCTCAGAGCCTGGAGCCTGCTTCAGATTCTGTGTCTCCCTTGCTCTCTGCCCCTCCCCCACTCATGCTCTCTCTCAAAAATAAACATTAAAAAAAAAAATGCTCTTCTCTAAAGTCATTTCTAAAATGTTCCATACATATATTTGTCTTATATACAATTTAATGAGAATGTATGCTCATGAGTCAATGATATCATTGAAGTTTTGCATATTTTAAACTACTTATTTGGGCTTTTAACACACAAAAATGAAATGTCCCGTTTATTCTTCCCCATTATGGGATTTCGGTAACAGCGAGCTGTCACAAACTTCCTACAAAACGGCAAGACAGCTCAAGACAGCTCAGAGATACACCAAACAGTCTCTCTTTGAAGCTGTGTATAAAATCAGCTGTTAATCAGGAAGCTTTGCTTATTACCACTCCAGCAAGCTCCAGACATCTGTCGAATCGCTCAGCACATCTCTTACGTCTTCAGAGCAGCTCCAGACCACTCCGGCATGAGGTGGGGTCGGGAGGTCGGCAATGTCAAAGCATCAAGTCAACACACTACATTCCATGAGAATGATCTAATCAAGTCCAGCCTAAACGGCGCAACTTTTACTCACTTTAAAACAGCTGGGGTATCCAAACAGGGCTCGTAACAAGATGAGGAAGATCCCCCACTATCTGCCATTTCTGCAGAGGGAGATTTTTAAATAGAGAGTTAAGTTGTTCTTTATACTAAAACTTTAAATTTCAAATATTCCTGTTGAGATTCCCCAAAAAGGGCTTCCAGAATTATAAACTCATATTTTGCCTTTATACCAAGAAAAAAATAAAACAATCTTGTGATGCGTTTCAAGTTTGCATTTTTAATAACTATACTATAACATTATATTAAAAGTTTATTAGGACAGAAATCCAAATTTTGGGACAAAAGAAAAATACCTTAAAAAAAAACAAAGAAAAATACTCAAAATGAGCCCAATTAAGCCATTCTTATCAACAGGTTCAATACCAGAAAGAGGACGTCCACCAGCGACAGTGATTCGTCTGGAACTGACAGAAACGGATGAGAAAAGAACAGCTCTGGTAAAAGTCCCTAAAAACTTACATTCACACACAAAATCTGTCTCCTAGCTAAAAGCATTTTGCTGGGTTTTGCTCAGATATGAGAAGCCAAACGAGCCTCACATCTCTAATTACCGTACCCTCGCACTGAGGGCGGCGAGAGCTGGACGTCGCCTGGTGTTCACACGGTCGCCTGCAACACAGAATTTGGGGCACACACCCGAAGTTATTTCAAAGTCAACAGAGCGACACTTTGCTTCTCAGAAAAGTGCCCTTAGGCAATTCTCGACTCAACTGGCTAGTATCTGCCCCTGACCACCATAGCCTAAGCGAGGCGTGACCCCCTGGCACCACCTCATTTATGCCCTCTGACCCCAAATGGGAGGACCCCCAGCGTCAGAAAACTGCCGCTCTCCTGAGTTCCCCAGGCACCTCCTCAAGCTCCTTGGGGAAGAGGAGGGGAATGACTGCTAATCACAGCACCCATATTCTGATCCTGACCTCTGTTGAGGGGTTTTTGAAAGTCACATCAGAATTCCCAGGGGAGCTGGGCCTGTTTCTGGACCTCACCCCAGATCAAAAGAATCAGAATATCTGAGATGCACTTGGGGAAGTATCCCAAGTGACACTCATGATGACTGACACACACGAATGGTCTTTAATGTCCCCAATGCCATCACCCCATCTCACTTTGCCTCTCTTACCAAATAGGAAACAGTAAAAATTAGCAATAGAAGATCAGATAGTTTTTTTTTAATGTTTATTTATTTTTGAGAGAGAGAGAAAGACAGAGTGTGAGTGGGGGAGGGGCAGAGAGAGAGGGAGACACAGAATCCGAAGCAGCTCCGGCTCTGAGCTGTCAGCACAGAGCCCAACGTGGGGCTCGAACCCACAGACCGCAAGATCATGACCTGAGCCAAAGTCAGCCGCTCAAACCACTGAACCACCCAGGTGCCCCCAGATAGTCGTTTTTGTTTTTTTTTTTTTAAGTAAACTATACCCAATTGTGAGCTCGAACTAATGACCCCAAGATCAAGAGTCGCATGCTCTACTGAGCCAGCCAGGCGTTCTGAACGTCAGATAGTTTTTCCTTTCCTAAATACAAAATACATCCTCACATCTTTGCTATCTACTAAAAGGTGTTGTCTTAACCCCTTATCCCTAAGAAAAGATGGCTTCAACGCTTCCATTACTTTTACTCTCAGTTGGCAGTTGGCGGGGAGCCCCATGATGGGCTCTGTGCTGACAACTCAGAGCCTGGAATTGCTTCGGATTCTGTCTCCCTCTCTCTCTGCTCCTCCCCCGCTCATACTCGGTCTCTCCCTCTCTCTCTCTCTCTCTCAAAAATAAACATACATTAAAAAAAAAATCGCCATGCGGAAATTTAGAAAAGCGCTCAGCCCCCCGTTATACAATAGTGCCAATGACTGCACTTCTGTTATCAAGCAAGACTGACTAGCCAGGGGACTAACACTAAACATCAGGAAAACTAGTACCACAAAGCACAATTCTATTCTCTCCTAACATCTCCTGCAAATGAATCACTCTAAGCTATAAATCAAGTGACTTACAAAGAGCATCGTGGAGTAAAGGGGAAAAAAGACTAGAAGAAAACCAGATTAACATGAAAGTTCTGCTTTACGAGTACAATAAACAAGGAAGCAAAAATAGACAACCCTTTAAACTAAACTATTTAAGTAAACTCGATCGTTCTTGCCAAAACCTGTAGGCGTTTGTTCATGGCACTATAGAGAAGGTATCATGAATCATTTTTAAAATTTGAAAATCTGCGGAAACTTCTCCCAGAAAAACCACAGGACCTATCCTGTATAGTTTCAGGACCACAGCCTCCCACCACAAGGTAAGAATCCGTGTGCTAATCTAGCGAATGTGCTGCACGCCAGGAATAAAGGCACGAGGAAGGAGCACTGGACGGATTCTAACCTCACTTTTAAATTCTACCGCCAAACAGACAAGCAAAAGCAATGCCGGTGAAATGAGCAAGCTGATCACGGAACGCAACACGAAGCGGCGGAGCTGCGTTACCTTTTCGGCTATACTGTACAGGACCTCGTCCATCTTCATGCAAGTGGGGTCCCAGTCGTGTCCAAACCGGATGACGACCACCCGGTCTTCCTCCGAAAGGATGGCCTGGTCCACCTGCCAGCCGTTGTGCAAGTGCGGGAGCATGTACGACATCTTCAGGGCCGCTCGGGTACCTGCGGGACAGGAATTCCACGCACCCGCTCCTTCCGGCCAGACCGCACTGCCGGCAGGGGGGCCACGCGTCGCCCCCGCCCTCACCCCTCGGTCCTGCCGCGGGGAGGGCGCAAGGGCCAGCACGAGACCCTTGGAAGGGGGCCTGGACCGAGGGGACGCCCGGCGGGCCACTGCCCGGGAGCGGGGCCCCGAGGGGGTCTCCCCCCACCTCAGTTCCCCACCCCCTGCCTCCCCGGACCCCCGTCCACTCCCGCTCCAACCGCACGCACCTCTGACACCGAGAGAGTCCCGCGCTGCGGTCCTTCCGGGCGTGGACCCGCGCCGGACAGTGCGTGCGCGCCGACGTGAGCGTGCGCGTGCCCGCCGACGTGCGGCGCGCGTCCGGCGCAGCTGGGCGCGACGTCCGGAGCCGGGGGCTGGAGTCTGCGCGCTGGCGGTGCGCGGGCGGGTAGGTGGTCTCCGCGTGGGCCGCGCGAGCGGGGTTTTCCCGGGGAGCCGCCGCGGTTGAGAGGAGCCTGTCTTTACCAGACCTGCTGTCGGTCCCAGTCGGGCTCGTCAGAGACCCAACTTCACCGCGCCGCCACGGTGACCCCGGGGGTGGGAGGGGGCCGACCGGACCAACGAGATGGGTTCGGGTCTGGACCGAGAGGACGCCCGCTACGCTGGGCGGGCGGGGGGGGGGGGGGGGGGCGGGGGGTACCGTGACTGCGGGGGAGGGACTGGACAGAGAGGACCACTTGACCTGAGGTGTGGGAATGGGAGCTGGACTGAGGACCCCCGTGACTCGGGGGGAGGGGGGACGGGGTGGACAGAGATGACCCCCGTGACTGGGGGTTGGAGGACCGCTGGACACAGAGGATGACATCGGGAGAAAGGCTTGTCCTGTTCACTCCCACACCAGGTCCCCAAATAAATCAGGGCGATCCTGCTTTCTGGACATAAATGCAGTTGATTGACATGTGAAACCGCTGTGTTCAGAAGAGCACTCCCCGCAGAGGGTCAGATCCTGCAGTGAGATAGAGCCAACGTGGAAGTTACCCCTCCGACCGCACCACCTGAGCTGAGCTTGTAGCTCGGCAGCACTAAGCCCCTTCGTGTTGTGGTGCAATATCCACCTCCAGATAACAATTCTTTGTTAACAAATTCTGCTGCAATCTCATTTGCATGCTACCAGATTTCATTCATTCAAGTTAAGGTGGTTTTTCTCGAGAGTTGTGGAACCTTGAGGCCTGGGTGGTTCAGCCGGTGGAACGTGGAACCTGGAACCTTGGACTCTTGATTTTGGCTTAGGTCATGACCCCAGATCATGGGATTCAGCCCTGTGTGGGGGCTCCCTGCTGAGTATGGAGCCTGCTTGGGATTCTCATTCTCTGTCTCGCTCTCAAAAAAATAAAAAAGTGTGGGACCAACATTATGATCTATTTTTAGAACTTTTTCATCATCCTGAAAAAAATCTTGTACCCATTTGGCATCATTGCCATTTCCCTCATGACCACTAACCTGTTTCCATCTCTGCAGATTTGCCTATTCTAGACATCTCAAGGGATCAAATGGAAATGTATGTAGTCTTTAATTTAAAAAAATTTTTTAATGTTTGTTTTTGAGAGGGAGACGGAGCACAAGCAGGGGAGGGGCGGAGAGAGGGAGACACAGAATCAGAAGCAGGCTCCAGGCCCCAAGATGTCAGCACAGCTGAATCCCTGAGCACTCGAACCCAGGAACCATGAGATCATGACCTGAACCGAAGTGGGGTGATTAACTGAGCCACCCAGGCGCCCCCGTGACTGCTTTCATTTAGCATAATGATCTTAAGGTTCATATTGTAGCAGGCGTCAGGACTTAGTTCCTTTTTATTGATGGTTAACATTCCATTGTATGGATACACTGCATTTTATTTATCAGCTAATTAACATTTGGGTTGTTTCCATTTCTTGGCTATTATGAATAATGCTGCTGTGAACAATGTGTATAAATTTTTGTATGGATATAAGTTTTATTTCTCTGACTATATATGAGTGGAATCATTTTGTCTTATAGTAAGTACATTTAACATTTTGTGGCATTGCAAGTTGTTTTCAAAAGTGGCTGCACCTTTTAACGTTTCCAACAGCAATGTGTGAGGGGTTTGATGTCTCCACATCTTTACCTACACTTGTTATTTGTGTATTTTTTATTATGACATCCTGGTAGATATGAAGTGATACTGTTGTTTGACTTGCATTTCCCTGATGGTTAGCAATATAGAGAGCATTTTTCATGTACTTTTTCTCCATTTGGAGAAATGTCTGTTCATATCCTTTGCCCAATAAAAAATACGGATTACTTAAGTTTATTATTGAGTTTTTTAAAGTTTATTTATTTATTTTGTGAGAGAGAGGAGGGAGAGGGGCACACAGAGAGAATCCCAGGGAGGCTGTGTGCACTCAGTGCAGATCCCAACAAGGGGCTCCACCTCTCATGAACTATGAGATCATGACCTGAGTTGAAACCAAGAGTCGCTTAACAGACTGAGCCTCCCTTATTATTGAGTTTTAAGAGTTTCATAGGTATATGATTTAAAAATATTTCTTCCCATTCTGTTGATTGACTTCGCTTTTTATTGCTATCATTTGCAGCACAAAAGTTTTAAATTTTCATGAGGTCCAATTCATCTATTTAGTTGTTTGTGCATTTGGTATCATATCTAAGAAACCATTGCCTCACTTAAGGTTGTGAACATTTCCTCCTGCATTCTTCTGAGAGTTTTATAATTTTAACCTTTTTTTTTAAAGTAAGCTCTAGGCCAATGTGGAACTTGAACTCGGGACCTGGAAATCAAGGGTTGTATGCTCCACAGACTGAGCCAGCCAGGTGCCCCCATTAACTTTTACATTTAGGTCTATGATCACTTTGAGTTAACTTTTATGTATAAGGTGTCCAACTTCATTCTTTTGCATGTGGCCATCCAGTTGTTCTGGTACCATTTTTTGGAAAGTTTATTCTTTCCCTATGAAATTGCCTTGGCACCCTTATTGAAAATCAATTGACTTTATTGTTTTATATTAGTTTTAAATTTTTAAATATTTTTATTTTCCATGCTAACAAACACAATATGATGTGCCAGGCACTCTTCACAGTACTCTATAGGGGAACTCTGTGTGGGAACATGGAACCCACACAACAGCCCTATAAGATAATTGTGCTATGGTTATCATCCCCAGATGAAATGACTGGATGGAGAAACCAAACCCCCAAGTGTTTCCGTATTTTTTTCAAGATAACCAGCTAGTAAATGGCAAAGCAGGTTTGAACCTCCATGCTGTTTTAAAATTTTCCATTGTTTTCTTTATTTGAGTATGAACCATGTTCATAGGTTTTAAGCTTGATCATTAGAATTTTCATTTGCCACCACCAGTGGGTGGCCGTAATTGAAAATAGTTTTAAATATTATATTTTTTCTTCAAATTTTTACTTAAATTCTGGTTAATTAACATATGGTGTAATACTGTTTTCAAGAGCATAATTTAGTGATTTGTCACTTACATGTAACACCCACTGCTCAACATGACAAGTGCCCTCCTTAATGCCAATCACCCATCTCGCCCATCCCCCACCCATGTCCGTCTAGCAATCCTGTTTGTTCTATTTAAGAGTCTCTTATGGTTTGTTTCCTTCTCTTTTCTTCCCCTTTCCCATATGTTCATCTGTTTTGTTTCTTAAATTCCACATATGAGTTAAATCATGGTATTAGTGTTTCTCTGACTTATTTCACTTAGCATAATACATCCTAGCTCCATCCACATCATTGCAAATGGCAAGATTTCATTCCTTTTGACAGCTGAGTAATATTCTACTGTATATACATACATCACGTCTTTTTTTTTTTTTTATTTCACTTAGAGCATGCACACACATGCATATGTATGACTGGAGGAAGGGCAGAGAGAGGGGGAGAGAGAATCCCAAGGAGGCTCCACACTGTCAACATGGAGCCCAACGTGGGGTTTGGTCTCATGAACCTTGAGATGCATCCCACCACATCTTTATCCGTTCATCAGTTGATAGACATTTGGGCTCCTTCCATAGTTTGGCTATTGTTAATAATGCTGCTATAAGCATTGAGGTGCATGTGTCTTCTTCGAATCATCATTTTTTATCCTTTGGGTAAATACCTAGTAGTGCAATTGCTGGGTCATGGGGTAGTTCTATTTTTAACTTTTTGAGGACCCTCCGTACTGTTCTCCAGAGCGGCTGCACCAGTTTGCATTCCCACCAACAGTGCAAGAGGGTTCCCCTTTCTCTGCATCCCTACCAACATCTGTTGTGCCTTGTGTTGTTAATTTTAGCCATTCTGACAGGTGTGATGTGAGCATCTTTTCATGTATCTGTTAGCCATCTGGATGTCTTCTTTGGAAAAAAAAGTCTATTTGTGTCTTCTGCCCATTTCTTAACTGGATTGTTTGTTTTTTGGGTTTTAAGTTTGATATGGTTTTGTGGGGTTTTTTTGGTATTTTTTTTTTAATGCTTATTTATTTTTGAGAAAGAGACAGAGACAGCATGAACAGGGGTGGGGTAGAGAGGGAGGGAGACACAGAATCCAAAGCAGGCTGCAGGCTCTGAGCTGTCAGCACAGAGCCTGACGTGGGGCTCGAACTCACAAGCCGTGAGATCATGACCTGAGCTGAAGCTGGACACCTAACCAACTGAGCCACCCAGGCGCCCTGAGTTTGATAAGTTCTTTATATATTTTGGATACTAACCCTTTATCAGATATGTCATTTGCAAATATCTTCTCTCATTCCATAGGCTGCCTTTTAGTTTTGTTGTTTCCTTTTCTGTGCAAAAGATTTTTATCTTGATGAGGTCCCAATAGTTCATTTTTGCTTTGGTTTCCCTTGCCTCTGTCGATGTGTCTAGAAAGAAGTTGCTCTGGCTGAGGTCAAAAAGATTTTTTCCTGTTTTCTCCTCTAGGATTTTGATGGTTTCCTGTCTCACATTTAGGTCTTTCTTCCATTTTGAATTTACTTTCGTGTATGGTGTAAGAAAGTGGTACTGTTATGGAAACTGGTCTGGATCACCCGGCAGAAGAACCAGGCAGCATTCGGAGATCTTGGAAGGCAGGAGGTTTAGTTTACACCGGTGAGCTCAGAGGAGATCATTCTCCAGAGGTCTGAGCCCAGAGCATCAGCAGCCGGATGATTTATAGTCTGTTGGAGTGTGGCAAGTGGGATGGGAAGAAAAACCCAGAAGGGGAGTCTTTAGGCAGGGACTGGAATCCCCCTGTCCTGTCAGCCGTCTTATAACAGACTTCTCCCTATCAGTACAGTTTCATTCTTCTGCATGTTGCTGTCCGGTTTTCCCATTTCCATTTGCTGAAGAGATGTCTTTTTTCCATTAGATACTCTCCTGCTTTGTCAAAGATTGATTGACCATACTGTTGTGGGTCCATTTCTGGGTGTTTTGTTCCCT